TTGCCATTGCTAATGGGTTGGAGGGCATCGCTATGAGGTTGGAGGCCTTTTCTGATAGGTTGGAGGCCATTGCTATTACGTTTGGAGGCTATCGCTAATAGATCGTCATTGCTAATGGGTTGGAGGGCATCGCTATGGGAGGCTTTTTCTGATAGGTTGGAGGCCATTGCTATTAGGTTGGAGGCCATCGTCAATAGGTTGTCTCGTCCTGTTTTGTTACGGGGTCTTGAGATGGGTTCAGGCCTCGACGAAGAACTTTGACCCGAGCTGTCTGTTGGGCTCTGGCACCTTTGGCAGTGTCCCAGCCTCCGCGCGGTGTGGGAGGCCACATGAGTCTGCTCCGACCGCCTGCTTCAGGTCTATCGAGGGACCATGAACGATGGCACTGAGGTGGCCATTAAGGTGTGTGAGATTCGAGTCACATGGTGCGCGAAGATTGACGACTGAGTCAACAGCTCTGCTTCAGCAGGTCCTTCACGTACCTGAGGAAGCTGGCTTCGAAGAAGAAGTTCAGGCCCCATGGAAGTGATTCCACGTGAATCGAAGAGGACATTTTCATTTTTCTCACACAGACCTCGTCTCTTTAGGTTCCACACAGACCTTGTCCGTGGTGCGTTCTTTGGCAGGTGTTGTCCAGGTTTCGACATCCGAACCTCGTGATCCTCATGGGCTTTGCCCGGCACGAAGAGTGCGCCGCGTCCGACGCGACGCGTCCGACGTCTCGTCCGACGTCTCGTCCGAAAGGAGACGAGAGGACCGAGACTGAAGGCACTAGAAAGTTGTACTAAGAAGCTCCAAAGACATACTAGAAAGCTTTAATTGTTACTAGTAGCGATGGCCTCCAACCTGATAGTGATGGCCTCCACCTAGTAGCTTCTAGTTACTAGACTGGAGGCATGCGCGTTTTTAGGCTCAGCAGTTAGCGTCTGAGTGCCATTTTGGTCACACATGGCTCAGGCCCAGCCTAGCACGCCCCCCAAGGGGAGAGATTCAATCTATGGACAGTCAGGTGGAAGAGGCTTCCACAGGCTTTCACTTCAGGTCTCGTGTTCTCTCACACCTCTGCCGTAGCCGCAATCTGCGGAGAATGAGCGACACTTTGCCGAACCACTTCTTGGAGCATTTGCGCCAGAACCCTCATATTCTGGAGACTTGGATGCGTGAACTCTGACCAAAACTCTGTTTGACCAAAACGACCCGCCGTTTTCCCCGGTCGGGGCCGCCGTTGTGTGCGGCCAGACGGGGGGTGCGAGCTTGTGGGGTCTGAGGAATCGATCCGAAACTTTCAGGCCCGGCAGGGGAGTGTTGGACAATCCGCCCCAGAGAGAGAGAGAGAGAAGTTGATTTGTGATGGCCTGCAGAGAGAGGCGGGGGAAGAGAAATCGATTTTAGGGTTTTGGGGACGTTTTCCGCTTTGATCTTTCAGGTGAACTATCGAACCATTTTCTTGGTGCCCACGGGCGATGACTACACGTTGGAACAGCGAAGTGCCTATTTAGAGTTTGCCCTTTGGCAGAATTGGGCGGCGAGCAACTCAACAAGTCATGGCTGAAGAGTTGTCACAGTGAGGGTGTGCTTGTCCTTTGTCATTTGTAGCTTTTGAGCTGGACAGAACTGAGGCTCAGCTCATTGAAGCCCGGCAGAATTGGTAGAGCTGATGGCTTGTCATTTCGATGAGTTTACCTCCGATCTTGATGGAAGGTATAAGGCCAAAAGAAGGAGAGGGAGGAGCAGTATTTGGAACTAGTAACAAGTGCCTTACTAGTAGTAACAAGAAGCTACTAGGAACA